CGGGTGCAGCAGCCCTTACAATAATTTGCTGATAATCATTTTTTTTTCAAAATCATGCACACCTTTATTATTTAAATAATATACCTTTAAAATACTGTCAATAAACTAGAGGTGTGCATCGGATCCGGTTTGACGTTTATAATCCGACAATTGCCTAATGTTTAAAATCCAATGCGAAATTGTCAAATCCGAATCCGATCCGAGTTTTGAAAAAGAATTCCAATCCGATCCGATCCGGAGAATTGTTAATAAAATAAATTTCTCATTCAAGTTGAAATATTTAACCAAATAAATATAAAAGCAAGAAATACATGTCAAGAAGCTGACAAAGTGACGTCCAATCGAAGTATCAAACGAATAATGCAGCGAAAACCGAGATGATACTTTGATAAATGTATGGATAATTAATACATTTTATTTCGGATATCGAAGTCCGATCCGACTACGAAACAACTTTATCAATCCGATCCGAAATTTTTATTTCAGTTCCGAAATCCGAACGAATCCGATCGAATTCGGATCGGATTTGCACACTTCTACAATATACCTTCATTTCCCCATTTGAGTGAAATTTTGATCTAGACAAACCTGGACAAAAATTTCACCACAGCTTGAAAGAGCATCACTAAATTATTAATATTCCTAAGTTTCGTTGAATGTTGTAAAATGCGGATAATATAGCCTTGCGAAGTTTACCGTTTTTCAGTCATTTTGCATTACAAACGGGAAATTGATAATTAGATGATCAAACTGATTATCAATTTCCCATTTGTAATACAATGACTGAAAAACGGCAAACTTCGCAAGGCTATATTATTCGCATTTTAAAAGATTTCGCAACGAAACTTCGGAATATTACTAATTTTGTGATGCTCTTTCAAGCTGTGATGAAATTTTTGTTTAGGCTTTTCTAGATAGAAATTTCACTCATAAGGGGAAAGGTCTATTGATTAATTTTAAGCGGCTACATTATCCATGACAAACCGCAAAGAATCATATTACCTATACTCTTTCCTGCAATATATAGTTAATTAAATACGCCTTCGCCCATTTAGTTCTATTAATTGTAAGCAAATTGTTAATTTCGACATACTAAAACTTTATTAACAACTCGAACCGACTTGACCACGTAGCTCAGTTGGCGGAACATTGGACTAGTATCCCAAAGGCCGCGGGTTCGACTCCCACCGTGGCCAGGCAAACTTTTCAACTTGTCCGCTGTGGATGCATACTCAGAGTAACGTCACAAATATCATACTAAAACTCCGTTTTCTGGCCATCAGAATTCTGTCAAAACTTCCCAGAAGTCCAGCAAATGGCATTTGAGAGAATCTAAATTTAATAATTTCCTCGTGCCTTCGGCCCTCGTTCCCAGCCCCCAATAAAAAAGAGCTTGCTATGGCACGGCATGCTTGTGTAATATGTCTGTGCATAAACTATGTGTATTTTTGTTTTTAAATTGCATCTTCATTTTTCTGATAGCAAACACCTTCGTGGCTTCGTATGCCATGAAATATTCGGACATTTTCTTCATCATTCCGAAATTTTTGGCCTCCCAACTATACATGCTAGCTACGGCCCTGCCTAAAACATCGAAAAACAATTCATGTTGATTGTTGTTGCAGAAATAGTAAAATACAGATTGCGAATGTAAATGCATCCATAATTCGTTTAGCTTTAACAAATGAAACTGGTAATGTATGTACAGTTGATGTACTTAGGCAATGAATACGTTTTTAGCTATCCTTCCTCAGTACTCACTTTAAATGCCCCGCTACGCTCGGATCAAAATGAGTCCAACTCGGGCCAAAGACATATTTATGCACGCGAACATCAACTATGTTGTTATACTAATTTGCCGTCAATCCATAAATCATATAATTCAAAATCAATATGCTGACCAATGAGAATGCAAGGAAGGCCAACTGCCCTGATAATTCAAATTCTTAGCTTTTTTGCCACCAAATGTCGTTTTTTTGCCACCAAAAGCTAGTTTTATTCCTCACGAAACTGATCGTGTTGCGGGTCATTTTAAGGATTTCTGAAACTATCATTTTTGTTATGCGTGCCTGCACGATGTGTGGAAAGAATTCCTAAACGAGCACGAGGTGCTGCTCCACCTTCATCTCCCACGTTGAAACCAATTTCAAAACATCCTGCTGTAAAGTTTGGGGTTGAAATAGTGTCATCCCATAGCGGTGCAATAGAGTCAACCCATTGCTGTGACGTCATATTCAGAATTTTTTTTTCAAAAAACAAGCTGCGTAATGAGGGAGCTTCCACGGGAATTTGAATATTAAATATCACTGATGTTAGGCAAACTTCAGTGACATTGGCACTCCAAAATTGCGAATTGAATAAGGTCTGATTGATTCCTTTTGTAGTCCATAATTCACTTTCATATCCTCCATCATCCTTTAAACAATTTAAAATGTTTTAATACACTTTTTAAAAATCAAATCAGTATTGAAATCGTTTAATACACCTTTTCGATAATTACGTCAAAGGGCCTTGGAACCTCGCTTTCATGAATCCTGAGCCAATCAGCTTGCGTGATTTACTGATAAGAGCGATGCTCCAAGACCAAAAAGTATGTGTGACGTAATTGTCGAAAGGGTGTAATCCGGCAGAAAAACTAGCAGAAATGATATAGACAAAACAACCATAACCATCGCACTTGCTATCGGGTGCCTACAAAAACGTTCGCTTTCCACTGTTTTGCAACAGGTGGAAAATTGTCGTCGCTGACTAAATTTATCGCGAACGCTTTCTTGTAAAAGCAAAAAAACACCGATTTTAAATCAACTAAGTGGAAGCACGCATATATTCTTCTCCTGCGGAAAACCCGAGCAGTTTTTGCGCGTGCTCAGACAAGTTTACAGCCTATTCTGTTTTGCAGCTTTCCAGGCGTGCGCCTCTGGAGACCGTTCCACCCCCTTCAAATTGTTGTCACTAGTCCAGTTCCATTTCATTGTTTGCCCTTCCTTCTAAGGGCAGAAATTGTGGCCATTGCCATTTGAGGACCGAGCTTCAGCCTCTTTATTTCGGGAGAACCATACGATTCGAGATTAGACGAAGGATTTTCTGCCAGGCTATGCCGGGACGAATTTTCAATGGGCGCGTGTGCATTACAAAAAGCCTCGCATTCTCAAATTATTCAGGTTTTATTTCTCCTGAAGTAAATTCAGTAATGCAAGTGTCATGTTTAATTATCGCCTTTACCTGAGGGAAATTCACAACGATTTGCATAAAATTTAGTATGTTTTGCCCCACCATTACAAAAGTAAGTTTCTGCATGCCACTACTCGGGAAAATAATAACATGGACACCGAAAAGACAGAGCATGTAAGAGTGGTTTGAGGTTGTAATTACCGTTTTAACACAAGAATAGCAAATATGTTGTACTTGCTTTGCTATCAGGATTTCGCAAGGAACCTTTTGACGTGAATCGTCATAACAATAAGACCGAAGAAACAAAGCACGAGAGTGGCATTTAGACTCAGTCGTTTTTGACGTTTCCGTTTTAAAGGAAGTATAGTTAATATATTGTACTTGCCGGGGAATTAGAAATATCCACGGCTCCGATGTACGTCCATCCTACTCCGTTGCACCATTGGATTTGAGATTGAGTTTTGCAAATATCACTGTAGGGTTCGTAGCCAGCGGAATTTCTCGATTTGATGAAATACGGAGACGGAGAATCTTGATTGCTGTCAGAAATAGACAAACACAAGCAAAACGCTCAAAAACAATGCAAAATAAACAAATTTTGAGCTAATATGCACCAGTTTTGACTCGAAAGCGTTGCATTTTTCCGCGCGTAGTTCTAAAATACTCAAAATGTACTCACTTTACAGGCCTGTATTTTTCGTATTTACAACATTTCGTAACTAGACTTTGCAATTTTACTAATTTTAGGCTGTTCTTTTGACCAATAATGATATATTTTGTCTTTTTTGTCTATTGAAATAAAAAATAGTCGATTAGCTGGAATCATCCGTTCGTCAAAACAATAAACAGTTCTATTTCCCCGATTTTTCCTTATTTATTTCATCAGTACCTTAATGTGTTTCAAGATCTTTTGTTGCTGTTTTCGTTTGCCTTTAGGCTATATGCGCAAATAAATCATATCAAACATGCAATCTCCTGCAAACACGGCTGAAGTCGGCGTCATACAACCTCGTCCCTAGGGTCTTCCTCGTTACGGCGCGCGAGCTGAGAAAGACCCTGGTAAAATAAGATGAAATCTCCAAGATTCTTGAAGAATTATCGCGTTCGCAGTGACGACAACAATGTTATGTTGCTGACGACAATTAGCGCTGGTGCTTACAATTTTCTTGCTTAATGTTTGTTCATTGTTCATTGTGTATTTATTCTCAAAATTTACGGAAAATACTTCAGATATAAGCTGTGAACACACATGTACACAAAACTATTCAACGTACATCATCATATTGTATCAATTTGTCGGAATATGGCGCTCGTATTTGTAACATTGTTTTGTTCGCTTTGGCAACCCTCGTATATATCAGACGCTACTTCGGCTTCAAATGCGACTTACCTGTAATAAACTCTGACAGTGTTGGAAGATGAAATTATATTGATTGATGGCACTGTACATCAAGGTACGTACTGTACATTTATACTGAATTTATTTTCACTATAGTTTCAAACTATAGTTCAGCCTTTATTATATTCATTTTGAAATTCAGTGGTGTTTCCTGCAATCTGATTGGTTCACAGGAGTGCGATTTCAGCACGAATCGCACTCCTAGCAGTGCGATTCGTGCTGAAATCATACCTTCTTTCAACCAATCACATTAAAGCGCCGACTTCAGCTAACCAATCATGTTTAATCATAGGATTCAAACAGCCAATCAATTTTAGGGAAAACGTGATATGGGAAATGAGCAAAAACAGAAAATTTACAGGTCCTGAATGATTTAAAATTAAGCAATTTTTGGCACATAAAAACAAACAAATATAGTTAGCGACAGGGAACTATCAAAGAGTTGCAATTATTTTAATTTCACAAATAGTAAACAGGCAAATTAAGAAAATAATCTTCTATCAAATATGGTCAAAACGCCAACAAAAGCAAATTTGAAGCGTCAGGGAACACAAACGTAAATTCGCCTATCGTATTTCCCATTTTAAACGCACAAAACTGCACCAAGACTATTTCAAATCACTCGTAAAACCTACAATGTGTTTAAACTTACTTGTGTTGTCTCTTATTCTTTATAAATGTACATGTCTTCATTTTTTTAACAATTCTGCAGTATTTTGAAGTTTGAACGTATAAAATATATTTAAAGATGCGCTACAATCCGGTCTGTGCATGTTCACAAAGGAGCCCTCTTTTTATTATACAAACAGTTTATTTAGGCTTTTATTTCATTTTATGGTCTTCCAAAGCTTAAAGGTGCTCTACAGTCCGTATGTAAACAAAGCCTTTGTTTACATTTTTGTGTCCAAAATATTGAGCTTTATTCGACAACTATTTATATTTTCAAGCTTCTAGAGTATAATAAATGATCAAGAAACAATAGTCAGGCTTTTCAAAACCCAAAACATAGTTAAACTGTTTGTATCATAAAAAGTGGGCTCCTTTGTGCACATGCACAGATCGCACTGTAGATCACCTTTAATTGTTGTGTCTTGATAATTTATTATACCCTAGAATCATGAAAATAAACATAGTCGTCAAATAAAATTCAATATTTTGGATACCGACATGTAGACAAAGCTTCTGTTTACATACTGACTGTACCGGCGCATCTCTAACAAAACTTCATCTTGTTCGCTTTAACATTGGTGCTATGCTACAGCTCTCAGGGAGGTACCAGAGGTGTGTCTTTGGCAAACAAAAACGTTTCCGCTTTACAAAAATGTTTAAGATTTCAAAATGAACATAAAGAAGTGAAAAATGGCCAACATTATCAACAAAGCTCGTATCAAACAACGCTCGCTTGTCATCACCTTACATGACCTCAAGAATGGTTTTAGTGAAGTTCATCATAATCTCGTGACATCCGTACTTGATTATCATCATATCTCTGAACACATTAAATTGATTGTTGAAAGCTTATATACTAATTTTCAAATTTCGATAATTACTTCCGAATTCCGTTCCCCTTTCATAACAGTTGGCCGTGGTGTACTGCAAGGTGATTGTCTCAGTCCTCTTCTCTTCAATATGTGTTTCAACACCTTTATCCAACATATAAAAGCTGAAAAATATCGCCAATTTGGTTTCTCCTTCCAGTTTTTAAATCCCATCCACTGGTTCCAGTTCGCTGATGATGCTGCGGTCATAGGTAGTCAAGAATCGGAAAATCAACACCTCTTAAACCGGTTCTCTATTTGGTGCCAATGGTCCAATATGATTATTCAGGCGGATAGATGTTGTACCTTTGGCATAATCAACACAGCCCGTATAAAACAAAGGTCACTTGTAATCACTTTACTCGATCTGAAGAAAGCATTCGGTGAACTACATCACAACCTTATTTACAAAGTTCTTCAATATCATCATATACCCGATCATATAAATGAACTAATCGGAAGTCTTTTTACTAATTTTCAAACATCTATTATAACTGAAAAATTCAGTAGCCTACCCCTTTCATTACCGTCGGCCGTGGCGTTTTACAAGGTGACTGCATGCCTTAGTCCACTCCTTTTCAATATGTCCTTTAATACCTTCGTACAACACATTAAATCTAAATCATTCCTGCAGCTTGGTTTTTGGAAATTTAATAAAACTGGTATTCCGTGTAATCCAATTAATTGGTTCCAATTTGCAGACGACACCGCTGTCATTAGTAGCCAAGAAATAGATAATCAAATCCTACTCAATCGCTTCTCGGTATGGTGTCAATGGGCCAATATGATTATACGTGTTGACAAGTGCTCTATGTTCGGTATTAAAAAACACTCATCTAAATCTGTTCAATATCAACCTAAATTGTTTATTAACCACCTACTTGTATACCCCGTACCGAAACAGGTGAATTATTCCGCTACCTTGGTCGTTATTTTAATTTTAACATGTCAGATAAAAAACACCAATCGGATATATGTGACTTGTTTAATAATATCATATCTAAAATAGATGAATTACATTTGCACCCCCGAAATAAAATCCTGCTATACAGTCGCTACTTACTCTCGAAAATCTCATGGGACTTCACAATAACTGATATATCTCAAACATGGGTTTGCGAGACTTTGGACGATTTTGCTACTAAATATATACGAAAATGGCTCGAACTGCCAATATCTGCAACTCTAAGTAGGCAATGTCTATCTCCCTTACAACAAATTTGGTTTAAATGTCATTCTACCTTCAACGAAGTTTATACAGTGCCAAACTGTCTCACGCTCAGCTTTAAAAGTCATCGATAAATGAAAACATACGTGAATTATGGTCAATAACAAGCACCAATAGGAACATTCAGTACGACATTTACTCAAACACAAAAGATGTATTGAAGGCATTTAGACAAAAAAACGAACAGCGACTACAAAATAATCTGATGTCACAAGGTTCTTTTTTCTCAAACATCGTGAAAAACTCCACGTTGGCATTCAATTCCCTATGGTCATCGGTTCATTCAAAACGTCCTAAGAACATATTTAACTTCAGTCTACGTTACATCAACAATTCTTTGCCTACTAGGAAAAACCTAGTTAAATGGGGTCTGTCATCATCTGCTGACTGTTCGTTCTGCTTCTGCCCTGAATCGCTTTTGCACGTAATCTCTGGATTTAAGACATATCTAAACAAAGGGAGATATACATGGCGACATGATTCAGTTTTGAATCTCATTGCGTCCAGCCTTCTCGACGTCGGAAGGTCCAAAATGTATGTAGATCTGCCTGGATTTATTAGCCCATCTGTCATCACTGGTGACGAGTTACGACCAGACCTTCTATTGACAATTGAAAATAAGATTTTGTACATTCTGGAATTAACTGTTGGATTCGAAACAAACCTGAAAACTAACTCAAATCGAAAACATGAAAATATTTGACTCTAATTAGCGATCAAGAAAATATATATGATGAAGTTAAGTTGGTTAATGTATCTATAAGCTCTTTAGGTGTATTTGGTGAATCGACGAATACTTTATTTGATATGCTCCATGATCTGAAGTACGACGAACAATGTATTAAATATGTAAAAAAAGAAAATAATTGCTACTTGTATTCGCACGTCTTATTATATATTCTGTAGATGGACAAAGACTGGAACAACCCGGAACTTTTAAACTTTTAACTAAATTTAAAAGATTTTCACCTGTATATATATTTTAGCTTTATATTCAATTCAAGTGGACATCGATAAGCTACCTTTTATTAAGTGAGGTTTATCAATGTATATATAATATATCGTAAATATCTAATAAAAAGTTTCCATTATTATTATTATTATTATTATTATTATTATTATTATTATTATTATTATTATTATTATTATTATTATTATTATTATTATTATTATTATTATTATTATTATTATTATTATTATTATTATTATTATTATTATTATTATTATTATTATTATTATTATTATTATTATTATTATTATTATTATTATTATTATTATTATTATTACATGTTTTTCACAGCTTTGTTCTTATGCTGGCTATGTTTTTCCTTGGAAGCTGGCTACAACCAGTAGCCTCAGGTCCCAAAGATTTTAGCTTTCCAAGCTTCTTCTCAGTATTCTTGCCGTCCCTAACAATGCTGTTTTTTGTAGAAGTTCTATTCTTATATGTATTCCCAATTTCTCAATCCACTTATCCAGTTTATTACTAACTGCTCCTAAGGCACCTACTACTATTGGAATGACTTCTACTTTTTTCATTGCCCATATTTTCCGAATTTCCCTTTTCAACTCCTCATACTTTTCTACCTTCTCTGTTTCTTTTATACCAATTCTACAATCCCCTGGAACTGCGATGTCTATGATCTTGCATTCCTTTTCCTTCTTTAAAACCACTACAATATCAGGTCTTCGACATTCAATCACATGATCGCACTGTATGTTAAAATCCCAGAGAATCTTTACATTATCTGATTCAATTACTCCATTTGGTTGGTGTTCATACCATTTTTCAGCTTTCTCTAGTTGGTACAAACCACATAGCTTCCAGTGTACAATGCGAACCACATTGTCATGTCTTCGTTTGTATTCTTTTTGTGCTAGCTTTTTGCATTCACTTATCAAGTGTGCTAGCTTTTTGCATTCACTTATCAAGTGTGTTATCTCCCTTTTCCCCACAAAATCTACAGAGTGGAGACTCGACAGTTCTATCTATGTGAAACTTTACATAATTTGTCCTTAGAGCTCGTTCTTGTGCAGCACAATAATTATTATTATTATTATTATTATTATCATTATTATTATTATTATTATTATTATTATTATTATTATTATTATTATTATTATTATTATTATTATTATTATTATTATTAAGCTAAATACAAAGATCTAATTGAAGATCAAAGGGGTCACTTTAATTCTGTTAAATTTGTAAACCTATCAATGAGCTCTCTCGGTGTGTTTGACAAAGAATGCTTCACCTTTTTAGAAATGTTAGACACTATAGGAATGGATAAAAAGCAGCAACATTACTGCATAAAAAAGATGACGTCTTATGCCATTAGAGCGACCTACTATATTTTTTGCTGTCGAAACAAAGAGTGGACAAACCCTGAATTGTTAAACATTTAAATTAATAACTATATATAACAATATATATAATCATATATATATACCCATTTTATTCTTGTTTTTACTGTAAATAGTACATATATGTAGTACTCTGTGATTCATGTAGCCAATTGTAAATTACCTAAGTCAGTAGTGAGATTTACAATTGTATATATACGTAAAAAATTCAATAAAGTTTTCATTATTATTATTATTATTATTATTATTATTATTATTATTATTATTATAATAATAATTGGAGGAGAGGGCAGAACGTATTAGAGAGAGTGCACCACCAAGAATTCAGCGTATATTAGATGTGGCTTCGGAAAAAGGATCATCTGTGTGGCTCACAGCACTTCCCCTAAAAGAACAGGGATTCAACTTGAATAAGAGAAAATTTCGGGACGCCATTAAGCTGCGCTATGATTGGCCAATCGACGACATCCCCTCCATATGTGTATGTGGCGATACCTTCACGGTTGACCATGCCATGATCTGCAAACGTGGAGGCTTTTTAATTATGCGCCACAATGTGTTAAGAGATCTGGAAGCGGAACTCCTCAACATTGTCTGTAGTGACGTCCAAGTTGAGCCTGTCCTACAAGACATCTCAGGAGAGCAACTAAATGGAGGCTCCAACAGAGCACCTGATGCTAGACTCGACATTCGTGCGCGTGGGTTCTGGGAAGTCAACGATCAGCCTTTTTTGATGTAAGGGTTTGTCACCCCAATGCTGATTCGTACAAGGACCTGGAGCTACGCCAAGTCTACAAGATACACGACAACGAGAAGAAGCGCCTATATGCAAGGCGAGTCCTCGAAATAGATAAAGGAACATTTACGCCACTCGTATTCACCACCACAGGCGGTATGGGCGAAGAATGTGTGAGATACCATAGTCGATTAGCAGAGTTGGTAGCCATAAAGAAAGGCGAAGATTATGCGACAACTATGAGTTGGATAAGAGCCAGAACCTCATTCGCTTTATTGAGATCGGCCCTTACCTGCTTGAGGGGTTCAAGGGCAAGGAAAATCATGTATGATATTAAGAACATTGATTTCAACATTGAGAACGCCGAGAGTGCTATCTCTGAAACATTTTACATTGTACATATACAAAGTTTAGTTGTTTAGCTATGTAACGGAATATGTTACTTTAGTTATTTAGCTACTTAGCGGTAAATATTTTAATTATGTAGCGGTACTGTTCCAGAGTTTAATTGTTTTTAAAATTTAACTGTGCATATCAACAAACATTTAGACAATTTTTAAAATGATTTTATATATTGAAATTATGAATAAAATTGTTATTATTAAAAAAATTATTATTATTATTATTATTATTATTAATATTATTATTATTATTATTATTATAAATGTATTATTAAACAAACAAAATACAAAAGTCAAGCAAGATTATTTAACATAATACAGTAAAAATATTGCACAGCCTCTTCTATATAATTCTATCGCCATTCAGCCTCGCCCCTTGAATGCAAACGAGTGATAGCCGAAAAGGTTTAGCAAAGTATTTTTTATTATATCCGGTATATAAATTCGCCTACGTTTTATCAGGGATATATATATATATATATATATATATATATATATATATATATATATATATATATATATATATATATATATATATATATATATGGTCCTGTTTCGGCCTTTTAGGGCCTCATCAGTGTAGTGCTGATGAGCAGGATGAAAATAACCACTATAAATAGTTACCTTTGATGTCTCACGAATGTGGGACATCAAATCACGGGCAATAGGACAGGTGTAGTGCTAGTGTTGTTAAATAGAAAGTTAGAAATGGTACTGTACTTACTTATGTATTATAATTATGTTTAAAAGATCAGAATATTCATAACTTCTTATTTTGTTTCATAAATAGTTCTTTAATATTCGAAACAAATTCCACATCTGCTTCGTCTGCCATCGCCATGTTTACTCATCCCAATCTACATGCTGCACGGCATTGCCGCCCCTCCTGGCAAAATAATAAGCAAGCGAGAAAAATTAAGGAGAAAATAAGAGGGTAGGAACATTGTGGGCGTTTCGTGGGCGTGTCATCGTTCTGGGCGAATCGGCTTTCGCTATCTTGTATCACATGACTAATTCAAATCGTCATAGGCGGGAAGCAGCATTACGTCATCCCTACGTCAAATAAAACGTTATAAAACGCGTCGAGGATACGTTTGTGCCATATATGGAAGTTATGGATACGTTTGTGCCATATATAGAAGTGTCACTGCATCCAGCTTATGACAACGATGTTCCTACCCTCTTATTTTCTCCTTAATTTTTCTCGCTTGCTTATTATTTTGCCAGGAGGGGCGGCAATGCCGTGCAGCATGTAGATTTGGACGAGAAAACATGGCGATGGCAGACGATCGAAGCAGAAGTGGAATTTGTTTCGAATATTAAAGAACTATTTATGAAACAAAATAAGAAGTTATGAATATTCTGATCTTTTTAAACATAACTATAATACATGAGTAAGTACAATACCATTTCTAACTTTCTATTTAACAACACTAGCACTACACCTGTCCTATTGCCCGTGATCAAACCATTGCCAGAGTGCTCAAACTGCAAGCAGTGACACAAAGGCCATAGAGCAATATCTAACTACAAGTGTATACACTAAGTATATATATATATATATATATATATATATATATATATATATATATATATATATATATATATATATATATATATATATATATATATATATATACTGTACACTCGTTTTCAAAGTCGCTAAAATGCACTCATCTTTCGGACTTTTCCGAATTTGGTAAAAACTAGTTCACGTGCTTGTGTTTTTTTTCCAAATTGATACTCGATACCATACTATTACCTATACATGCATGTACAGATGCACCAGTATAGACGACAGTATACGAGTGCGAGTAGCAACGGTGCTAATAAACTGCAATACAGTAAAGCTACAATATACTTACGTAGAGCACCCTTTCTCGTGATAGGCAACGCAATCATCATAAATTGGAGTTCCTGGATAAAATAATACAAAAATGGTTTGTCGGGCAAATTGACCAAACGCTCAATAATTTCAAGCACGGGCGTATACATCTTCTTCTGACCATTTGTATTCCGTATAAAATGATTGACAATACGCACAAACCTACATGTAAACCTTGGAGCAACAAACATAAAAAACAATACACATATAACAGAAAAGCATAACTGTCCTGAAAAGTACAATATGTACAAAAGCACCTAAAGAAATTCAAGCAAGACTAACAGAAGAGACCAAAACGCATCAACAGGAACGATCATAAGTTACTCTCCGCGACAGACACACAGATGACAGCGGACACAAATTGGACTGGTTAGTCAAACGAGATGTTCATGCAGGAAAAGCTATGACAAATCATGCACGTAAGGTTAAAGAAGCGTGGCATAGTTTGGACAAACAAACATTTAACCATTCATCATGTTGGTATTCTTACAATTTACTTACAACTAAAACGTTCGCACAAATTTCATGATTGACCTTTATTAATCTTTAAAGGTAAGTTACAGTCCCTTCTGCGCATGCGCGGGATTTGTTTACGTTTTTTGTTTTGATCCACATTAATTACATAAGATGAAGTATATGATGAGTTCAAAACACGTTAAAGTAACATTCCACATAATTTGTGACCGAGGAGTGCAATGTTTGTAAATACTTCACTGCATTTCTTGTACATTTCTAATACACTGTAACTTTTTACTTAAACATCGCGAATAAAGATTAACGAGGCCGCTTTAATTGGCTCGTGTGACTTGATAGATTAACAGCTGGGGCGGGGAACCGAAATCTCGAAGGTGTGAGTTCGAATATTAAATTTGTGTTTACCTTTGGAGTTCGTGTCTAATCATGAAAATAGTTCATGCGGTTTCACTACCTCGAAACACATTGGCAGAGTTGTTGTTGTCGTTATGACAGAAGCACTTGGGGAAAGCTTTTCGCTTGACGAATTTGAAACAAGTGTGATTGAGAATGTGGCTGCAGTTCCTGTATTTGTGGCAAAGCCAAGTCCCAAGGGCTCAATTTTTGACCGCGCAGACGCTAAATAAATGCAAGCTCGTGCGCGCTATAGAGATGACTTCGGATGCTGTATAAACAACAGAAGAGTTCAAGAGATTGACAGTGACGAGACACTAAGATGATAATTATTCAACTTTTTGTGTTATAAAGTTGTATGTTTTGAAATTATCAACTGGAAGTATGAATTCATTGATATTAGCCTACTCTCATATTGACACTTACCCTGGGTGCCAGAGCCTCCTGTGATAGAAGTGAGGACACGACGAGGAGGCTAGCTCTGGTCACACGAGCATCCAGCCTCACTTTGGTGAGTTCAATATTTGAACTCTGTTTGTGATTGGTCTAAATTTATGCGAGTCTTTTCATTGGTTAACTGACGCTCATCGGTTAACCAATAAAAAGAATCGCATAAATATTGACCAATCACAAACAGAGTTCAAATATTGAACTCACCAAATTGAGGCTGGAAGCTCGTGTGACCAGAGCCTCCTCGTCGTGTCCTCACTTCTATCACAAGAGGCTCTGGCACCCAGGGTAATTGACACTATAAAATTATGACATTCTTATATTGACAGTAAATCAGTAAATGATCTAATATTAACTTCAACAATTCTGGTGATGTTGGTTCATCATGTCTCTTCAAGACGAAGGACAATTGCTAAATAAATATAATTGTTTGACTGTTTCGCTCTATATCGGAGCTCATCAGAATGCCCAGGAAACACTGGAGAAATTTTGATTTACATCAACGAATCTTTCTTTTTTAACAGATTTATTGGGTTATATGGAAATACAAATAATTTATATAATTATAAACAATTATTGACACACATATACAGACATTACTTAAAAGAACACTCCAAGGGGATAAGCACGAATTACTCAAGGGCTTATGCCCCCTGAAAATATTGAATATATTAAAAATAATTACAGTTTGTGACATGAACAGTTCAACAGTTGGGTAAACATCATTTACATAAGAACCTGTTTAGGCTAACTTGGAAAAAATCTAGGTTCTTATATGCAGGGTTTTACTGTGTTGTCTAATTTTATGTCATAAAACGGACCATGGCAGCCTGTTCTCACAACATATATTATGTGATGGTGCCACTCTTTGTGACACAAAATCAGGTAATCATAGTACAATATGAACTGGCTTGTGTCCATTGGCGTCTTCTGAAGTTAAAACCAGGTTGCTTTGTGCAGGTGGAGCTCATAAGCCTTGTCAGGTAATCCATCTAGGAGAAAGAAAGCTCTGACTTCAAACCCCCAGACCCCGCTTTTGGACAAGACATGTAGTGAATACATGATCATTAGTGCTTGGAAACTAGGTTACACAGGTTCTTAAAGAAAAGCGACTCATATTTGGTATGTGAGTAATAATTTACATGTATATAACTTGTGCACAAATTATCTAAAAATATCAGCATATATATAGCTATAGGCTATGTAAAGCCATACTGTATGCTACACTTTATTTATCTCAATGACATTTTCAGGATTCTGGATCATTTTAATTACTTTGTGAAGAGTTTATTTTCTTTGATTTATATACATTTTTAGATTTGACTTGTCTCCATGTGATAAAATAGAAACCTGAAATGCTAGCCTAAACAATTTCTTGTTTAGGGTGTCTAAACTAGGAGTTACTATCGCAAGGAAAATGCTGCCGATATGTACATGCAGGATGTACTACAACCAAAAAGTGTCTTTTTCACTGTATATGTTTCTACATCAATTACCTCGTACAATTGTATCTCACATCTCATCTTATAAAAAGTGCTCGGTGGTCACATGTGTATAAGCGTGTAACGTGTATCGTGGGTTAACTTTAAACTAAAGGTTGTTCAAGCAGCAATAATAATCTATACTTCTTGAAGAAGATCTTCTATATAACATTCAAGGTCTGTTTAATCAGCATTTGAACTTTCTGTTTAGCCTATATGCGGACTTATTTCAATACATCGTAAATAATTGTTCCTTCCTCATGTAAATAGCCCCTAAGATGCCCGTTCAGGAGGCAGGAAAAAAGTGCACTCTTGAATATCAAAACACCCACAATAAAATCCAAAGGTCGGCTAAATGTTCTAATTCTACTCTCTTGGCGTGGGCAGTTTTTCTTATATGAATATATATATATATATATATATATATATATATATATATATATATATATATATATATATATATATATATATATATATATATATATATATATATATATATATATATATATATTGTTGGACTTTGCTTTCCTTTGGCAAGATTTATTTGCCAGCAAGGATGGCAATGTCCAACAAAGCTCATATACAAGCCTTTTTTCATTCACATTTCTTTGGCGAAAAACATAATGGCTTAATGAATGATTGTCATATAGTCATAATTGACAAAACCAATCCAGCAGAACCAACAATTTGGGAATCGTATTGGATTAATAGACTTATGACTATATATATATATATATATATATATATATATATATATATATATATATATATATATATATATATATATATATATATATATATATATATATATAAACAGACGGTCATATCTTATACAATAGTCAGTTGACACTTGACACTTGACATGCTATATTACATCACATGTAATTGCTGGTAATATGGGCAGACAACAATCCACACTGGGTTGCTATAGGATATAATAAGCCCGATTTAACAACATCCCGCGTTTGCTTTTAAACTATAAACATCTAGAATTAGAAACGGAACGTACCGAACACTATTATAAACTCATCACCTTTGCACATATATTAAGTGACATAACAAACAAATAAACTAAAAGTACATTTGAGTATTTGACTCCTTGTATCAATATAGATACAAATAGATCAGTTGGCTATTATTAAAACTGCCGATCAACCTCGTTCCCAGGTCTTTTCCCTTTTTGTCATTGGGAAGGCGGGAGTTGTTCATATACAATTGTTCAAATATCGTCGCATTTCTAGTGGTACTATAACTAACTATAAATTTAATAGGCCAATTTAAACTCGACTATGAAGAATATCAAAAACTAAAGGTCATGTTTCAGTTTATAAACCCATACTTTAGTTTTATAAATATAAACATTAATACGAAGCCAATGATTCAATGAGGACAAATTTTGCCCTAAATACTCGGTCAGAACCTCAGAGGTGTATTCTAGAACATAATTAATCTTCTCTCACAGTTTAAAACAAACAGTAATACTAAACTTCGACAAATTGTGTATAAATCTTATCGAATTTAACCATTTTGCCACAGATTTTGCCAAATATATTTCTTAGACGGACAAAGTAATATTATGGACACTCTTTGCGTGAAAATGTTAATTTATCCCGAAGTTTAAATAAATTAATCCAAGATTGCATTATGTACTTGTCATTGACCAATCAGAATACATAGAACACCGGCCGGTGCCAGGGCCTTTTCCCGCCTTCTCAATGACAAAAAGGGAAAAGCCCTGGGAACGAGGTAGACTGCCGATATATTTTTGAAATCATATTGTTTCAATACCTCTATATCGAAGTTTAATATACTAAACTGTCTAAACAAGTATAAACAGCAGATTTAAACATAAATGCCTTCATGCATATCACCAGACAGGCAGACACGAGTCACACGACAACACGAGAAAGAAATAAAGCCATCCTTACTTGAATTATAATTTAACTATAAAATAACATCGTGTTTATTTACTCATTCATCTTCACAGATATTACTCGGAATTTTATGGCAATTCGCATTATTTTATATATTGTTGTCCGTTTATAATAGTCGCCATGTTGTGAACAACCCCCGGGGAACAAAAAAATAATATCAAAACAGCTAGTTTTGGCCCGTCCGTGAATGACAAAACATAAATCGAGACTGTAGCAGCTATAAAGTTGGCGGTCACGCGGTACGCACACCACGTGTAGAGATTAGTGTGCGGCCTCGCTAACGCTCGGCAGCAATAAAAAATA